CCCAAATCCCTCGGGAATGAACCCAAATCCCTCGGGAATGAACCCAAATCCCTCGGGAATGGCCCCAAATCCCTCGGGAATGGCCCCAAATCCCTCGGGAATGAACCCAAATCCTCGGGAATGGGGTTGGGATCGGCCCCGGGAGCCCCGAGCAGTCCCTGCCTCTTGTCCGTGTATCCCAGGTTATGGAATTCCCGAGAATTCCTGGGAATTCCCAAAAATTCCTGGGTTTTTCTGGCCCCGATTCCCCAGGAATCCGCCCCATTCCCACCTGGAATTCCTGGAATTCCCAATTTCCCCGGCCCCAAATCCCTCGGGGTCGGCCCACGTTTCCCCATTCCCACCTGGAATTCCCACATTCCTTCAAATTTTACGGGATAACGATTCCCAATTTCCCCCAAATTCCCGTTTTTCCCCCTCCACCATCCCAACCCTTTCCCCGTCGCCGCCGTTCCCGGCGGGAAATCCGGGATAAACGGGAATTCGGGAATTCCGGGGGGGATTTTTTTTTTTTTGGGGGGGAATTCCCGGAATTCCCGGAATTCCCAGCCCTTTTCCCAATTTTTTTTCCCGGGATTTTGGTTTTCCCAGTGATCAACAAATACAAACGGAGGCGATTCCAGAAAACCAAAAATCTCCTGACGGGAGAGACGGAGGCGGATCCCGAAATGATCAAGGTGGGAATTCCCGGATTTCCTGGGAATTCTCCGGGAATTCTTCGGGGTTTTGGGGGGATTTTTAAAATTTTTCTCTTATTTTAGGATTTTTGGGGAATTTTTTTGGGTTTTTTTAGGGATTTTTTTAGGAATTTTGGGGGGAGTTTTTTGAGGAATTTTTGGGGGAATTGTTTTTAATTTTGTCGGATTTTTGGGGGATTTTTTTGGGATTTTGGGGAAATTTTGGGGGGATTTTTTTTTGATTTTTCGGGAGATTTTTTTTTTATTACTTCGGGAATTTTTGGGGGGGGATTTCTTTTTAATTTTGTGGAATTTTTATTGGGAATTTTTAAAATTTATTTTGGATTTTCTCGTGGGAATTTTTAAAAATTTTTTGGGATTTTTGGGGGAGAATTTCTTGGTGGAATCTTTAATTTCGGGGATTTTTACTGGGAACTTTTTTAACATTTTTTGGGATTTTTTTGTGGGAATTTTTTTAAATTTTGGGGGAATTTTTTTGGGGGGAATTTATTTTTTTTTTAAATTCCAGGAGATTTTTTTTGGGGGGGAAGGGAATTTTTTTGTGGGAATTTTTTTTTTTTTTTTTAATTTTTTGGGGGGGGATTTTTTTACGGAATTATTTTTAATTTCAGGGGATTTTTTTTTGGGGAATTTTATTCAGTTTTTGGGATTTTTCCCTTCGCAGAGGGCCGAGGATTTCGGGCCGGTCGAGGTCATTTCCCACTGGCACCCGAACCTGACCATCAACATGGTGGATGACCACACGCCCTGGGTGAGGGGCAGCGTCCCCCCGCCGC